GAGCCGAGATCACATCACTGCACTCCAGCCTGGGCGACAGAGCGAGACTCTTGTCTCAAAGAAATGAAAAACAAAAAGGCAAAATTTTGGCTGGGCCTGGTGGCTCATGCCTATCATCCCAGCACTTTGGGAGCCCAAGGTGGGCAGGAGTTCGAGACCAGCCTAGTCAACATGGTGAAACCCCATCTCTACTAAAAATACAAAAAAATTAGCCAGGCATGGTGGTGAGTGCCTGTAATCCCAGCTACTCAGGAGGCTGAGGCAGGAGAATCATTTGAACCTGGGAGGTAGAGGTTGCATTGAGCCGAGATGGTACCACTACACTATAGCTTGGGCAACCGAGTGAGACTCCATCTCAAAAACAAAAACAAAAAGACAAAATTTTGCCCAACTCAGTAGAGTCACTTGGCATCTAGAACTTGGAAATCAGTGGAGTCTACCACTATACCGACATCCCTTCTAACCAATACAGAGAAAAGGTCATGAAACTTTCCACTCACTAAATATCCTAATTCTGGTTCTTTAAAACTCACTTTCTCCATAAAGCCCCTAGAAAAAACAGGTATGGGTGTTATTAAATTCCTGATACCTCTTTTGTCACTTTCATCCTAAAGAAGACAAAGATTTAAAATAACCACATGTTGGCTGGGCGTGGTGGCTCACCCCTGCAATCGCAGCACTTTAAGATGCTGAGGCAGGAGAATCACTTGAGCCTAGAAATTCGAGACCAGCCTGGGCAACAAAGTAAGACCCCATTTCTCCACAAAATAAAATAATTAGCTAGGCATGGTGGCAGGCACATGTACTCCCAACTACTTGGGAAGCTGAGATGGGAGGATCACTTGAGCTCAGAAGTTCAAGGCTGCAGTGAGCTAGGACCTCACCACCACATTGCAGCCCTATTTCTAAATAAATTAACAATAGCCCAGCATGGTAGCACATGCCTATAATCATAGCTTCTTGGGAAGCTGAGGCACAAGAATTGCTTGAACCCAGGAGGTTGCAATGAACTCCAGCCCAGGTAACAGAGCAAGATTCTATCTCAAAAAAAAAAAATCTACAAAAAATAATAATTGGCTGGGCACAGTGGCTCATGCCTATAATCCCAGCACTTTGGGAGGCCAAGGCAGGGGGATGACTTGAAGTCAGGAGTTTGAGACCAGCTTGGCCTAAAGGGTGAAACCCTGTCTCTACTAAAAATACAAAAATATTAACCAGGTGTTGTGGCACATGCTTGTAATCCCAGCTACTCAGGAGGCTGAGGCAGGAGAATCACTTGAACCTAGGAGGCGGAGGTCGCAGTGAGCCAAGATGGTGCTACTGCATTCCAGCCTGGGCAACAGAGCAAGACACCATCTCAAAAAAAAATAGTAATTAAGGGGCCAGGCGCGGTGGCTCATGCCTGTAATCCCAGCACGTTGGGAGGCCAAGGTGGGTGGATCATGAGGTCAAGAGATCGAGACCATCCTGGTCAACATGGTGAAACCCTATCTCTACTAAAAATACAAAAATAAAAAAAAAAATTAGCTGGGCATGGTGGCACGTGCCTGTAATCCCAGCTACCTGGGAGGCTGAGGCAGGATAATTGCCTGAACCCAGGAGGCGGAGGTTGCGGTGAGCCAAGATCGCGCCATTGCACTCTAGCCTGGGTAACAAGAGCGAAACTCCATCTCAAAAAAAAAAAAAGTAGTTAATTAATACAAATTGAGGCTGCTGCTGCATAGGGCATACAGAGAAAAAAATTAGGAATCTCATAATGATATCAATTATACTTTTCTTTCCCCACCTTTTTTTTTTTTAAATACCAACTAGAGATTGATACTGATCTTTCATCTTTCCTAAATTTCTACAAGGCTGCTCCACCTGTCAGCATACAGTCAGCCGCCTACTAGAATAAGAAATAAAAGTACTTACCCACAGTTGTTGACAGCCATAAGATTGGAGACAAGCACAAAGGGATAGGTCAACATACTGGCAAAAAACTGTAAAATGAAAAAAAGGCAGCTGTTATTAGGTTATTTGTAACCTTTATTCTCCTTTCCTTTGCCTCACAGGTCTATAGTGCCACTGTGGTGAGACACTCTAACTAACACTTGCCTCGCTTCCTCAGTACCCTGGAAAGACTGTTAGATTTTTGAGCCTGGAGATGCTTCTTCCTCTTAACACACCACTGCATCCAACATTTTAACAAAAAGCCGGAAGACTTCTCTGATCCTGAGCAGCCGGTACTAGAGGTGCACACCTCCATGCCTGGCTATGTTTTTTTTTTTTTTTGAGACGGAGTTTCGCTCTTGTTACCCAGGCTGGAGTGCAATGGTGTGATCTCGGCTCACTGCAACCTCCGCCTCCTGGGTTCAGGCAATTCTCCTGCCTCAGCCTCCCGAGTAGCTGGGATTACAGGCACGCGCCACCATGCCCAGCTAATTTTTTTAAATTTTAGTAGAGACGGGGTTTCACCATGTTGACTAAGATGGTCTCGATCTCTTGACCTCGTGATCCACCTGCCTCGGCCTCCCAAAGTGCTGGGATTACAGGCTTGAGCCACTGTGCCCGGCCTTTTTTTTTTTTTTTTTTTTTTAACTTCTTGAAGAAATGGAGTCTTGTTCAGTTGCCCAGGCTGGTCTCAAACTCTTGACCTCAAGTGATCCTCCTGCCTTGGCCTCCCAAAGTGCTGGGTTTACAGGCGTGAGCCACCATGTCTGGCCTGAACAATATTATTTAATAGGAAAGGCATATTCCCTATGAAAGCTGAGCAGTACCAAACCATGTGGGCTGTGAGGCAGGGGCTCTGTCTTATTCTCTTTTTTTTTTTCTTTGAGATGGAGTATTGCTCTGTTGCCCAGGATGGAGTGCAGTGGCATGATCTCAGCTGACTGCAGCCTCCACCTCCCAGGTTCCAGTGATTCTCCTGCCTCAGCCTCCCAGGTAGCTGGGATTATAGGCACATGCCACCATACTTGGCTAACTTTTTTTTTGTAGTAGAGATGGGGTTTCATCATGTTGGTTAGGCTGGTCTTGAACTGCTGACCTCAGGGGATACGCCCACTTCACCCTCCCAAAGTGCTAGGATTACAGGCATGAGCCACCGCAACTGGCCAAAAACTGAGTTATTCTTACCTTTGATAAATACAACAAATTTGAGGGAGATGTCCCACTGAGACATCTGGTTATCTTAAAGCAGTAATGACACAGGCCAGATTTCAAAGGAAAACAAAACAAAACATAACTATTCCTATAAGGTTGAAAGGATTTTTAAAAACTCACTCCTGTGACAGCTTGAGAATAACTCTTCATTTCATTCATGGTAGAAACCTAAAACATAAAAACAGCCTTAAATTAATTGCCTACAACCCTACAACAGATCAATATATTCTTTTCTCCTTTTCTTTCTTTCAGACAGGATCTCACTCTCTCACCACCACACCCAGCTAATTCCAAAGTATTTTTTCTTTTTTTTGAGACAGAGTTTCACTCTTGTCGCCTAAGCTGGAGTGCAATGGTGTGATCTAGGCTCACTGCAACCTCTGCCTCCCAGGTTCAAGAGATTCTCCTGCCTCAGTATCCCAAGTAGCTGGGATTATAGGCATATGCCACCATGTCCAGCTAATTTTGTATTTTTAGTAGAGACAGGGTTTCTCCATGTTGGTCAGGCTAGTCTCAAACTCCTGACCTCAGGTGAGTCACCTGCCTCGGCCTCCCAAAGCACTGGGATTACAGGCATGAGCCACTGTGCCCGGCTTCAAAGTATTCTTTAAGAGATGTTATCTTTTTTTTTTTTTGAGATGGGGTCTCCCTATGTTTGCCCAGGCTAGTCTCAAACTCCTGGGCTCAGAAGATCTTCCTACCTTGATCTCTTAAAGTGCTGAGATTACAGGTGTGAGGCACCATGCCCAGCTAAGAGATAGTGTCTTGCTATGTTGCCTAGGCTGGTTTCAAATTCCTGAGCTCAGGCAATCCTCCCACCTAAGCCTCCTGAGTTGCTGGGATTATAGGCTAGAGCTACTATGCCTGGCTCTCCATGCCTAAATGTCTATCTCTAAATTATCAGTTTGATAGCTTGAAAATTATTATTTCTTTGAGACAGGATCTGATCTCTTTCTGTTGCCCAGGCTGGAAGTACAGTAGTGAGATCACAACTCACTGCTATCTCACAGCCTTGATCTCCTGGGCTCAAGTGATCTTCCCACTTCGGCCTCTCAAAGTGTTGGGATTACAGGCATGAATTACCACACCTGGCTAAAATTAATTTTGAGGACAAAACCATAAAACACTGATTGTTAGAATAATAAGGCAGTGGTCAAAATGATCAACCTGACACAACATTAACAGACAAATTCTTATTATACTAAAAGGCTTTAGGAATGAATGTAAAAGGATTTCAAATAAAAAAGAAAATGAGATTGATAAACTTTTCCTGTCCTAGAAATATAGTCCCTGGAAAACCATATTTATAGTACATCTAAGGGAAAATTCACTACCTTTGTCCACAGCTAGCTTTCTACCAGATATGTTGAAGAAAATCCCTCCCTATACTCAAGAAGTTTACAACATGGATTTAGTTACATATCCCGTGATGTGTTCTATTTTTCACCATGCTATGGAGCTGCCTATGTACAAGAGGCCCCACAAATGCTAACAACTTCTAGATTAATACTGAGTCTCAAAGGCTGAGGTTTCTAGAAAGCCCAATATAGGCACCCCCTTAATAGTCCAGATTAGATGAAAATCCCCAGATATACCATAAAGATGTTCTGCTTTCCCAGGTTCTCTAAAGTTTAGGAATCAGTAAAGAAGTCATCCCTTTAAAGCCCTGAACAAACACACGGCTGAATCTCTTGAATTACTTTGTCACACCTTAGGGACTTTTAAGGTGATCATGCTATAGTAAACAGTATGGGTCATTTCATTAGCATTTGAACATTTGATTGATAATTTTTAGCTATAGAATTGTTCAGTCTGGCATGTAGCAAACTGTCATCTTACTTTTTTTTTTAATTCAGTCTCCATAGCGACTGTCAAAAATTACCAGTGCCAACTATATTTCAAGTCATCATGGTGAGGTATTGGGAAAAGTTTTCAATTAGCAATATTCACGCTTCGGATAAACCTTACTGGCTACAATACTGCCACTTTGCAAAGCTTGTCATCTTACTTTAAAAGCTAATCTAGATGCCAGATTAAGGCCAAGGACAGCACATCTCACCAAGGTCACAACCTACCCCACTGTCCAGTGCATAGGTATTGACGAGGTAGGCCAGTGAGTTACACAGCCACAAAGAAAGGATGTCACCTAGAAGGCGAGGAACAAGACCCCTACATGAAGAAACAATAAAAATAAGAACCAAAATATATGATCAGTAAAAAGACAAGCTCTTGAATACAAACACTTCTCAAATAATTAGACATCACAAAACATTCTAGGGAAGTAAAAAAGATAGTATCAAACACCAGAATCCAGTCCTCATACCTAGCTCATTCTCGTTAACACAGCTGTACTTGAAGCTGATTTCCAGTAACTTTTGTTTTTATGTTTAAAATGCAGGTCAGCTATACCCTCAATGGCTCACCTTACTATTTATAACTATAAGCAGAGAGGCAAAAGATTTGCGAGGTACTTTGCAGAAGAGACTTAAATATTGTTTTGCTTTGACTAACTTAAAAAATGGTTTTGCTAAACTGTCTGATATTCAAATTTGGCAGAGCAAAAGAGAAAAATTACAAAGCAAGAATGATCCCAAGTATAGATATAGATGAAAGGCATCAAAATCACATTTATAGCGTCTGGGTGACCTAGGTGAGGCAGCATGGAATAGTGGGAAGAACATTTCCCCACGGACTGAAGACTGGGATGAAATGCCAGCTCCAGCACGCATCAGCGATGTGTGAGGCAGCAGATAAGACTCTGGGAGCATCACTGAGTTTTATTCTCTAAAGTGATACTAATTATAGCTGCCCTGCCTATCTCCCAGGGTATTTATGATATTCAAAATCCATATGTGAAGGTACCCTAAAAATTAAAAAAAAAAAACCATTTAGGTTAATATAAAATTTTTCTTCATAGAAGAATGAGGGTAGGCTGGGCGCGGTGGCTCAAGCCTGTAATCCCAGCACTTTGGGAGGCCGAGGTGGGTGGATCACGAGGTCAAGAGATCGAGACCATCCTGGTCAACATGGTGAAACCCCGTCTCTACTAAAAATACAAAAAATTAGCTGGGCATGGTGGCGCGTGCCTGTAATCCCAGCTACTCAGGAGGCTGAGGCAGGAGAATTGCCTGAACCCGGGAGGCGGAGGTTGCGGTGAGCCGAGATCGTGCCATTGCACTCCAGCCTGGGTAACAAGAGCGGAACTCCGTCTCAAAATAAAAAAAAGAAGAATGAGGGTAGTAGTCTAAATCCTTCCAAAGTAAATTCAAGCCTTGCAAAGACTTAACTCTTTTAGGGTAAGGAAATACAAGTTAAGATGATTTCCCCATTTTAAAAAATTTAATTTTTTCTCATTTTTATTATCTACATAGAATTGGGAGTTTACCATAAGGGCAGAAACTTGGAATTGACTCCTTTGTTAGAAAAAGAAATTCCTTATTTCAATTTTTTTTTTTTTTTTTTTTTTTTTGAGACAGTCTCACTCTGTCACCCAGGCTGGAGAGCAGTGGCTCAGTCTCAGCTCACTGCAACGTCCGCCTCCCGGGTTCAAGCGATTCTCCTGCCTCAGCCTCCCGAGCAACTGGGATTATAGGCATGTACCACCACACCCAGCTAATTTTTATATTTTTTAGTAGAGGCGGGATTTTACCATGTTGACTAAGCCGGTCTTGAACTCCTGACCTCAGGTGATCCGCCCTCCTCGACTTCCCAAAGTGCTGGGATTGCAAGCATGAGCCACCACGCCCAGCCTCAAATGTTTTAAGTATCTAGAAGCAAAGATTTGGGATCTTTACAAGAGAATTCTGGTCATATGGGGCCTAAATATGCCTTTCTGCAGAGAAAAAAGAAAATAAATGAGGGGCCTAAATAGAATGTAACATGAGATAAGTCCAGGGAGTACATTTTCCCCAGGGACTGAATAAAGATTCACTGTCCTCATTTTCAGGAAAAATTTCTCACACAGAAATTACATACTAATCAACATTTACTCACGCGAAAAATCCTAGGATGCCCTCTTCCCGATAGATGGTTACTATGGAATCACAAAGTCCACTACGTACACAAGAAGGAAAAGTAAAATACATTAAGATTCTTTTGGAGCTATAAACAAAATAATTTCAATTATCACTTTGGACAAGGTCAAATCTACAACCTCCTTCCCCCACACTTTCCTAGCACCCTTTAGTCTGCAAAGATAGCTAAATTTAGAGATAGAAGTGAAGCTAGTTCACGTCCGAGTCATGGCCCCAGGAAAAAGAAACAAAACTGAAGCTAGTAACTCCTAGGGGTGTAGCGAAATGGAGTCTGGGGCTCTGCAACTTACTCTGCAATCCTAGGTAGGCTACAAAACCTGCCTGGGCCTATTTTCTCCTATTTTACTGGTTTTTGTGCCGATTAAATGATAGGAAATACAAATTTGTTCTACAAACTGTAAGGTATTATAAAAATACAAAGTAGCATTATTCTAGTACTTTGGCTTCAAAAGATCTCCTGAGTATATGAAAACAAAAACACTTACCAGTACTTGGATTCTCTGCCAATGAATTGTACCATAGATCTGAGAGTGATCACTGTGGAACATAGAGAAAAGATGTGTAAAACTAGGTTAAGACCAGACGCGGTGGCTAACACCTGTAATCCCAGCAGTTTGGGAGGCCGTGGCAGGCGGATCATCTGAGGTCAGGAGTTTGAGACCAGCCTGACCAACATGGTGAAACCCCCATCTCTACTAAAAATAAAAAATTAGCCGGGTGTGGTGGCATGCACCTGTAATCCCAGCTACTCGCTGAGACAGGAAAACTGCTTGAAGCAGGGAGGCAGAGATTGCAGTGAGCCGAGATCATGCCATTGTACTCCAGCCCGGGCAACAAGAGCAAAACTCTGTCTCAAAAAAAAATAAAAAATAGAAAGAAAAGAAAAAACTATGTTAAGATAGATTTTGACAGCCCTGGGAGAAAAGATTTTCTTCCACCTAAAGACATTTTGCTACCTGGATAAATTTGATAAAAGCAAAAACAAGCAAGCAAACAAAAACATGCAGGCAAGGCATTTTAGTCAACTGCCAGTCAACCTATCTAAAGTGGTCAGGAGAGATCAAGTTATAAAAGAAAGGTAAGAAATCAGATTTCAGTTGTCAACTGCAAACATACCATGGAAGGGATGTGTGATGAGAGTAGCAGCAGAACGAGCGATCATCTCTCGAGTTGTCTAGAAACAATCAACACACACTTCTGAAATCTAAATAAATGACATTCAAATGCCTGTGAGAAGGAACATGGGTGGATATCATGGTATAGGATGAAAAAATGAATGACACAGCCCTCCTGTCCTGGCTGGAGTCAAGAAGAGTGGTTTGAACCAGATGCGACAGATCTCGTTCTCATTTTATCATACTTTTCACTCATGGATTTTAATGTTCTATTATATTTACCTCTCAAAATTTCTCTGCAAAGCAGACTTCTGTTGTTTTCTCAATTTTGCAGGTAAGAGAAACAGTAAGGAAACAGGGAAGGTCCCAACAAATAGTCATTAAGCTAAAATAAAAAATATGAGGCCTTTATTGGTACTTTTCTTTTGAGACGAGTCTCTTTCTGTCGCCCAGGCTGGAATACAGCGGCCTCATCTTGGCTCACTGCAACCTGTGCTTCCCAGGTTCAAGCAATTCTCTTGCCTCAGTCTCCTGAGTAGCTGAGATTACAAGCATGTACCACCATGCCCAGCTAATTTTTGTATTTTTAGTAGACATGGTGTTTCACCATGTTGGTCAGGCTGGTCTCTAACACCTGATCTTGTGATCCACTCACCTTGGCCTCCCAAAGTGCTGGGATTACAGGTGTGAGCCACTGTGCCTGGCCTTACTGAAATTATTAAGTTGCTCTCTTATTGGTAAATGATTTTGGAGAGCCTGATATCCGTTCTAGACAAATGGCAGGCTTCACTTAGTCTCTACCCACATTTTTGGGAGATGAGAAAAACTTTGTTTTGTGACTACAATCCAGTAACTGTGCGGTATCTTAGAGCTGCTGTGTTTTTCTTAATTTATCTTTCTATTCTATGACTCTAAGGAAGTAATACAGAAAATTAAATTGTAATCCTTGCATTTAGGTTCTGGGATTGTAAATGTAGCAGGTCTATCATTTCCTTTTGCATTTAAACAATATCTTTAGTCACTGAGTTTTAAGATGGCCCTCATGACTTGGAGATAATGTCAAGGAAAACAATTAAAAAAAAAAAAAAGACAGCCCTCACTCCTTCTCCAATGGCAGTCCAGAGAAGATCCTATGGGACAGGATGGGCAAAGTAAGGGAAATAACTAATTGCATGTATCCCTGCTTTTAAGCAAACTAATTTTATGAAAATATCTGCTTTCCAGACCTTTAGAAATGTTTGTTTTTGGAACATTTATTTTAGACAGCCGCATTTCCTGAGTAATTGTGACTTCATTAACGACAAGACAATGTGAAGACTAAGAGAATAGTTCTGAAAGCCAGGCACAGAAACACCTATGGCAGAAGACGAGGGTGGGAAATGGGTGATGATGAACATTTCAGTCAGAAAAATGCTGAAAGAGCATTTCTGGATAGATATTATCCAATATACAAAGGGCCTGGTCGTTATTTTAACACTTTTTTCTAACGACAGGGTCTTGCTCTGTCATACCAGCTGAAGTGTGGTGGCACAATCATAGCTCACCGCAGCCTCAACTTCCCGGGCTCAAGTAACCCTCCCACCACAACCTCTTGAGTAGCTGGGACTACAGGTATGCACCACCACACACCTGGCTAATTATTCTATTTTTTGTAGAGAGGAGGTCTCACTATGTTGCATAGGCTGGTCTCTAACTCTTGAGGTCAAGTGACCCTCTTGCCTCGGCCTCCCAAAGTGCTGGGATTACAGGTATGAGCCACCATACCTGGCCTATTTTTACACTTTTATTCCTGAGGTTTTCAACACTATTAGAAGACTTTTGGTATAAACCTCTTCAATTTTAAAGATG